CAAGCCCCATCCAGCCTGGCCTTGAACCCTTCCAGGGATGGGGCAGCCACAGCTTCTCTGGGCAACCTGTTCCAGTGTCTCACCACCCTCAGAGTAAAAAATTTCTTCCCGAGATCTAATCTGAATCTTTTTTTCTTCCAATTTAAAACCATTTCCCCTTGTCCTATCACTACACCTCCTGGCAAAGAGTCCTTCTCCAGCTCTTCTATAGGCACCCTTCAGGTAATGAAAGGCCGCTATAAGGTCTCCCCGGAGCCTTCTCTTCTCCAGGCTGAACAATCCCAGCTCCCTCAGCCTGTCTTCATAGCAGAGGTGCTCCATCCCTCTGATCATCTTTGTGGCCCTCAGACCAGCCAGTCCATGTCCTTTCTGTGTTGAGGACTCCAAAGCTGGACACACTACTCCAGGTGGGGTCTCACGAGTGCAGAGCAGAGGGGCAGAATCACCTCCCTGACCTGCTGGCCACACTTCTCCTGATGCAGCCCAGGACAGGGTTGGCTCTCTGGGCTGCCAGCGCGCACTGCCGGCTCATGGTGAGCTTCTCCTCCATAAAATCCTGGGAGAATTGAGGACAAACAAATTGGGGCTCCATCAGGAGCATCGTGCAGGTCCCTGAAGGAAGCTCCTCGTTAGGTTTGAATTTGCTATCCAGGACTCTTCTGCTTTGCGTAAGGTGACAGGTTCATTATTATTATTATTTTATTCTGGTTTTATTATTAATTTTTATTCAGATCTAGTTCTTTGATCAGTCAAGTGTATTCAGGTCTCTTCCAGCATCTTTGTAGTTTTAATATTGGCTTAATGAAGAGGAAAATTCAATCCTTTCACAAATGTCACTGATCAGGACCCATCGGTGACAGGAGGGAGCTCAGACACGTGGAGCAGGAGGTCCCCGGTGCTTCCAGATACCCCTTGATCAGCGGTGCTAGAGCCACAGCAGCTCACCTGGACACTGCACCCAGGGCAGGTGCAAATAATTGCTAGGCCTTATCCCAGGGAAGAAAAAGCATGAAAAGTAGATGAAGATGGCTTTTAAGGTGGGAAAAGTGGTGCCAGAGACAAGTCCTGTTCTTAGGGAAGGCAGTGCAAGAATGCTTGCGTTGTGCAAGGTTTTGGTAGCTCATTGTGGTTCTTTCAGCATGTTGCTGTCAGCTCACACCTTCCTGCTGGATCCTCCACATTAAAACGTGCTGCAGGTAACCATCTCCAGGTAAACACAACATGTGTGCTCTCTTATAAGAGCTGTTGGGTTTTTAATATGGGCAAATTGTCTTCTCATGGCTCCAATTTCCAGAGGAAG